TTAAAAAATTTAAATATTAAAAAAATTAGTAAAAATCTTCACAGGCAAATTTGCCTGTGTTACAATTTAAGAGATAAGGATTACAATGATAATTGGCAAGTTTTTTTTTCTCACCATTAAATCAAGTATAGCATTTATAGTAAGAGTTTCTTTTATAGAGAAAAGTGTATAAAAAGAAAATATATACTATCATGCCAGGAATTCTTAAACTTATAAATAATACAAACGTTTTTTTTCTATTTTTTCTATTTTTTTCTATTTTTTTAAAAAAAAAATGCAGTATTTAGTTTTTACTAGTAGTTGAAGTGAAAAAAGCTAATTGTAATAAAAAGATAAAATATATTTTACGAACATCCTATCTAATGTTAAGTATTCTTTAAATGAATTATATAAATTGAGACAAGAAGTAATATTGAAATATTCCAAATTGATTATTAAATAGAATTGAAGATATAAATTTAAATTCAACTCTAATCATAACTATAGTATAAAAAAATACCAGCAAAGAATATTTAATTAGTATAATTGAATAACTATAAATAGCAAGTTTAAATTAAATTTTTTATATTTTTACTAGATTATAAGTTTCATTCAAACTTTGTTGCTACTTTTAACTAATTTCGCTGACATATTAATGCTGTTATTGTGTCTGGGTCTAATGAGAGAATCGTTGATAACATGTCCTGTGTAGCTAACATTTGTTCAGATACAACACTAGTAGATAGTATTGCAAGAAAGTCTCGAGCCATTACCAACAAAGTTGGAAAGTGACCTTTATTGAGTTTCTACCATTCAAGAACATTGATAGTTTTAGTTGCAATTTGTTCATTTAAATATTGATTAACTTTATAAAGTATATTATTTTTATTAGCTTGGGAGCTTCTTATTGTATACTCAAAAAAATTACTAATATGATCTTTGAGCATCAATATATTATCTTCAATACTAATAGCTTCATGACTAGTTGGATAGTTAATTGCTAGTAGAGAGTAGTAAGTTTGAAGATATATATCTTCAAATCTATTTTTAAATTATAAAAAATATTAGTAAAATAAAATTATAAATAATTAAATTAATAAATATATATATTTTTCCAATATCTTGTATTTTTTTATTAAGATCATTCAATTCTAATCTTTTCTTTTCACAATAAAAGAATAAAATGAACTGCAACTTATAATAGAGATCAAGTATACAAGCAATAATATATAAAAAATTACTATCATTCCAATATTTATTGAACTTATTTATTATAGAAATATTATAGATAAAGCTATCATTATGATGTTTCATATTGAAAAAGTAAGTATAAATATTTAAAATAAAAGCAAAAGTATTGTTAAAAGTTGGATAAAAGTTTGCTGATGCTTTTAGAGTATCTATTTTTTTTTTAAAAAAAAGTATATATTTACTTGATATAAAAAAATTTAATAAATTTTAAAAACTTTTAATAAAAATACAACAGATTAATATGAAATTGGATTAAAATAAAATATTGTACAATGTAAAAAATAGTCTAGCTATCAAAATAAAAATATTTGAGATGTATTTTTTAGAGTTAGTAGTTAGAGTTAGAGGTTAGTTTTAAAGTAGACTTTATAATAAACAAGTATAAGTAGGTTTTAGAGAGTTAAATAGAAGCTTTTATTTTATTTTAGTCTGACTTCATTATGATTTGTCACAATAAATAAATATCATACAATCATAAAATGGTTTTAAGATAGTACAAATATTATCTGTCTTTTTCTATTAATTTTCTGTGGGTATATTAGGAAAAGTTCAATCATGATTACTTATTCGAATAATTATACTCTTCTTCTTTATTGCAAATTGTAATATTGTAAAAGTAAAATTCTATCAGGTATTACAATCTAACGATAAAATAATAGGATTTTCTAATTCATATTTACAAATATCTATAAATATTTGATGTTATCTTGGAGTTGAATATATTGTTTTAACACAGTTGCGAATCTAAAAAAAAAGTAAATTTTTAAAAAATTATTTAAAGAAGCTAAATAATATACAGTATAATTTTTAAAAAATATCAAAGACTACTATGCGATTAAAAAAGATTATGAAAAAAGCTGAATCTTTATTATTAGAAAAATTAGTAGCTTATCTCTATCCTACCATAAAGGCTGAATCATAATTACCTTGTTGATTGTTTCTAAAATTTTTTTTAAACCATCTTTCACAATAAGATTTAGAATATGAATGAAGCAGCAATTATAAAAAAGTTCTTTATTAATATTATTAAGTGAATTTTGAGAATATAGTCAACTAATTCATGAATTGCAATATCATTTGAACTTGCATTGTCAAGAGTAATAGATTGTAGCTATAAAATAAAAAGATAAACAAAATTTTACTAAAAATTATTGTTAGAATATTCATAATTAATAAACAGATTTCTAATTTTAAATAAAATTAGTAATATATTTATTTGTGATTTAAATTACTTACTATCACTATCGCTATTAACATTTGTACGTATTAGAAAAATAAATGATTGGCTAATTACAAATATATATACTTCGCTCACTATATCAAGATCACAGAGTATTTTTATTATATTGTTGTGGGCGAAAACGGTGAGTCTGTCGCTAGAAACCAGAATTCTTGTACTATATCAATTTCAAGGCTTGAATAGAGGCGTAAATACGATTTGGTGAGTATGTATTTTATTTAGGTTTAAAGTTTTTATTT